GGCGGGGCGGAGGGTGCTGGGAGCCGCCCCCTGCCCGGCGTGTGAGCGGCTGCGCCCCGGGATGCCTGCCGGGCGCCGGCGCCGCCATTTTGTGACGGGCTCCCCACGGAATTCGCGCTCTGCGTGTTGCGAGGGGGGCCCGGCTCAGGGCCGGGCGGGCCTCGGGACCCCGGTCTGAGGGAAGCACCGCGTGAACAAGGTGTTTGCAGTTGGGAGCGGTGTCGTTATTCCTCCCTGCAAGTACGCAGAGTTAAAGCGAAGTAACTCCACAGTGCTGAGGTACGGCTGTTATTAGCTACCTCTAACTACAATTGCAAAATCATAATATAACCTTAAGCTTAGGATTTTATTAATGCTGACAAATTGGGATAGTGCTCATCTCATTCTAATTTTTGTTCTTAGTTTATTTTTCCTCCCAGAGCTGTTCCTTCCAAAGTTCTGGCTTAATATTTACGTTATCCACCTGAAATATTTTGACATATGTCAAACTCGAGGGACTCAACTGAAATTTTAAGTTTATTGTAAATCAGTAGATCTGTAACATAAAGTCAGTATTTGCAAAAAAGCAAGATACACTGAGAATAACATTTTCACAGACTGAGGGAAGGGACAGGTGCAAACAGCACAAAAGCAAACGTTTTTATAGTAGTACTTTATTGAGTCATACTGAGCTATACTTGCAGAAGGTACCTATTTTAAAAAAATCTAATCGCTGTGTCAAGTTGGAAACATTGTAGCTGCAGGAGAAAAACAAAGGGCAGTTATTTTAGTGAATATTACCACATTTTCCCTTACTTATGTCTGTTTACATAAGAGACTGACAGAAGGTACAAACACACAGGCTGGAAAGTCTCATCGATAGGCTGCACTGAATAGGCTCAGGGTATTTAAAAGCAGTGTCACATTCTCCTGTGGGATGAGGACTTGAGGCCAGGCTCTGCTGCCTTTCCTCATTGCGGTACGAGTTGTTGTTACCAGATGTTGTCAGACAGCATTTGCTGGTATTCTGAGGAGTGCTGCATCCTTCAGCCTCATTTGGAGGTGCAATGTTACGTACTACTAGTCAACTCCTGAATTATACCATCTGGGGCATCCTGGAAATATCTCAGTGCTCTGAAGGTCAATATTCAATTAATGATTAAAATGATAGAGGCGCAAATGGAATTTCAGAGTTTAATCCTCTGGAACTTCTCCACTCAAAGCTATGTAATGCTTTGTCTTCCAGGGGTTTCCAGTGCATGGCACTAAAGAATGGTTTGGGATACGTGATTCTAATTTTTTCTTTTGTTTCAGGCCGAAAAAGGGAAATGCCATTAAGTATGTGGGCTAAATGAAAGAGAATACAAAAGCATTCTTTGGTGAGTGAGTGATAATAGATTGGGGCAGATGCTTACTTTGATAGTAACTAAAACAATAATGTTCAAGAGCATAAAAATATGAGGTATAAGAAGTGGGAAAGAAAAGAAAAAAATTACTTGAAGAAATCATGCTGCTAAAAGTAAATAAAGCAAAATGTTTTTTCTTTTCAGTGTGGAAGTGAATAGGTTCTTCCAGAGCCTATTGTCTAATGTTTGGGATGTTGCGAGACTAAATGATAAACATATGCTTACATGGATTTAATTTACTACTTGCTTCATTAATTTATATTAACCATAGAAACGAAATATTAACTAGAACTAGGGATAAAACCATGTTCCTGCCAACATTTTTTCCTGTTTCAAGAAAAATTTAATATTAGCAAATGTATAGCACTGATTTTTCTGTTCTTCTATGTAGAATAGGGATCTCTTACAGTTAATGTATTGTGTATTACTTCACTTTCTATTTAAAATAGATTTATACAGCCTTCAAAGTTCATCTTCTTCTTCCTTAATAATCTTCAGCATCACCAGCACAGATAGCAAGTAAAGCACTCTCATAATGCCCTGAAGCAAAATGCTGCAAGAAAAAAAAAAAAACATTTCCGTGACTATATGTTTTCTTAATTTTTCTTCTCTTGGTGTGTGACAAGGGCTAGACTGACGTTGTAAGGTTTTGTAAGATATTACAGTGTTCATAAGGATTCTAGGCCAAGGTTTTTTTAATTTCACATACCTTGGGCTTTGGTTGCTTGGGCACCTAGAAACAATCTACTTTTGAAAGGTTGGATCAAACCTGCTTAATACTTGTCAAGTTCAATACCAAAAAAATCATGAGCAATTTCTTACAGTTACTGCACTTTATAAAAAAGATAAAGTGTCTTAGCAAGAGTCATTTTTGTACAATCAAACAGTGTCAGAGTTTTGTTTTAAGATACAGAGCAAAAGTACAAGAGGAATAGTTTTTCTGAAGGTTGATACTACCTAAGCGCAAGGATAAAACCAGATTTTTATCTCAGTTTTGCATGGAAGTGGTATCAGTCTGAACTTGCAGGACAGTGTGAAAGAAGATGGTATCAATTAGAGTAGAAACTATTAATGCAAACTATTCCTCACCATACACTGTCCTACCCTGTTTATATCCTCCTCTTGCTATTGGGGAGGGACAAAATCGCATAGAATGAGAGTGAGTTGGGAATTCACTGCTCACTTACTGAAGTCAGCCTGAGGCACCAAAAAGATATGCTATTGTTTTTATATACTGCCTTTTTTTCTAAACCAAGTGATTGAATGGAGATTAACCCTCTGTATTTTTCCGGTAGGGCTTGGCACAGTCTGTGTGGTGCCAGTGCTGAATATATGCAAAAGTGTGTAAAAACTTACTTTAATGTCATGAAAGAGTGATTTCCCATATCTCTCTTTGTATCGCTGTCGTATATTCATCAAGTCAATCTCACTCCTGGCAATGAGAATCCTTATAACTGTTTTATTGTGAAACCCAAAGTCCTAAAAAGAAAAGAAGATGAGAGGAAACTTGACAGTTGGACAATATGTGTTTGCCTATCTGTATATAAAAAACTTACTTTAATGTCATGAAAGAGTGATTTCCCATATCTCTCTTTGTATCGCTGTCGTATATTCATCAAGTCAATCTCACTCCTGGCAATGAGAATCCTTATAACTGTTTTATTGTGAAACCCAAAGTCCTAAAAAGAAAAGAAGATGAGAGGAAACTTGACAGTTGGACAATATGTGTTTGCTTATCTGTATATGCTCATATTAATGTTTAATAGACAAGCCAATTAATTAGGCTACCCATAAAGATATCCTAGATTTTAAAGAAGTCTAAGCATTCAAAGGTTTTATCCTACAGAGTTTTCACATGCTCAAATAATAGAATTCATGTTACTGAATAACAGAGATTCCCCACATTTCAGTGTTTTAACCATGCACTGAAACTTTTAAAAAGAAAAACCTGATGAACTTTTGTCAGTCATGTTCGGTATTCAGTTTGTAGGTAGCTGTTGTGACTGTCATTGTGGAGTCCATTCAAACTATACTGAAGCCAATAATCTATTTCACAACAACTGCTGCTGAATGTGAATTCAGTGAGATTTTTAACCATTGATTTAGAATTTACATAGCTTGTATTCAACTATGTTTTATTTTAACTGTTTCTAAATAAATTTTCATATTGTAATTGTGTGGAGAATGGGGACATCTAGTGGCAGTAAAAGTAATAAAAACAGATTTAGGGTTGGGATGACTGATGACTAATTTAGATTGTTTAAAGCTAAATCGTAATTTTATCGACTAGCCACTGATATTGAAATCTTGTTTTCAAAAAAACAAGTAATGAGATATGTTAAAAAGCTTCTTATAAAGAATTTGATACGTGTTTGATGGCTAGATTAAGATCTTTCTTATAAACCATTACGGACTATGATTTCAAGCATTAGAATCCTGGGTGGGTTTTATTATATTGTATTATAAATGGACATATAAAAAACTTTTGGTATAAACTGGACATAACTTGGCTGCAAAAACAGACACTATTTTAAATTCTTGCATTTCTTTTGAGAATTATCTGTGTTCATTAAAACACTTTGTGAAAACAGAGTAAAATATTAATTAAAACAAAATGCAAATTTTTATTCTTAATCATTAAAAATTTTTTCCTGCATCACATACATCATCTGAATATAATAGAGAAGAAAACTGTCTATGTGATATTTCTTAAAATTAAAAATGAGGTTTTAACTTGAAAAGTGGTCTTGATACAGGACCTTTGAGAAACGTCACTTTTCCTGATAGCTGGTATTTCCTGGTACTTTTGGCAAACCTTTTTCATGTCCTGTGCCAGAATCCTCTTTTGACTGCTCAGACAAAATATTGCCTCTTCCTCTCAGCCCCCGGGATTTTCCTTGGTTCTTTGCTGCTACTGTTGCTGGTTTAGCTGAAACGGGGGACAGCAGTAGTGGCAGCACCTGGAAGAGGATACTGGGGCCCTGTTGAAGTGTTGCTGAATAGTTTTGTTTGAGGGTTCTGGCTTGAATCCTATCTATTTTTGCCAATCCTGCTCTAGGATGATACTTCACATTTTACCCATGGCTGGCTTTTATGACCATCTTCTAAAGATTAGACTTAAAAGATTAGCTTAAAAGATTATACTTTATTTTTTATATAACATAATGCCTCATTATTTTCACTAATGAATGAAAAACAGAAGAAAATTTCTTCAGTGACCTCTAGTAGGAAGAATTTGTAGGTGTTTGCATTTACCCACATTTCTTCTTGGCACTCATTTGTTTTAGTATGTTAGCACTTACACACAAAGATAAAGAACCTACATATATACATTGAGCCCCACAAGAAAATATGACCATTTGTTTTTATGTAACACTAATTTATGATTTAATTTTGTGAAACTTATATTAAATCAATTTCAAGATACAAAAATTGCATAGTAAGAAAAGTGCACATTGTGTTCTGCACAGCAGGGGGAGATACAATCCATAGAAAAGAAAGGTTTTCAAGTGAAAAAAAGATCGACAAAGTTACCAGACAGATACTTTTTTAAGGAATCTAAATATTTAACCTTTTACTGTTAACTGTTAAATCCTAACTGCTGCTTAGGCACTACTGCTTTGAAATTTATGTAGATACCAACAATTTTAAAACATGCAATCACACCTTGAAGATTGAACGGGCTGATTTGTAAGTACTTGTTTAAGAATAATCAAACAAAAAAATAGGGAAGCTACTTTTTATGATATGTGAAGAAGAAAGACTACTTACATGAATTGCATTGTAAAGCCTGTAAGCAAAGTAGGAAGGCTTGTCACGAACACAGAGAACTAGGAGAGAAAAGTTGCAACAGGTAAACATAAGATTATTATAAAATCAATTTTATTGGCTTTGAGCTCCTTGAAATATAAAGCTGAGTAGTGCTGTCCATGACTCAGCTTAAAATTGAGCTGTCCATGACTCAGCTTAAAATTTTGCTACCAGTTTTCACAACCATGACTATAGTTATAATTTAAAAAGTCTGGTACTTATTTTGGGTGGGTGCTCATTACTGTTGCATCGAAGGGCTTATTAAATATCAGTGAATACGCCCACATGACATCTTTGTAGAAATATTATTATCCTTATTCTATAAATGAAAAACAAAGGCACATAAAGCTTGGAACTTGTTTATATACCACTCAAGTCCTGAAAACTTTGCCAGTTATTTAATATGTGTAGAATCAGTTGGTAATGCAGTTATCATTGATCACACAAAATTTGTTATCAAATAAAGAACAGATACTAGTTCTGCTCAGTCAGAATCTAATGCTGCATATATACATTTTTAGATTTACACAAACATGGAAAAGTAGTTCAAATATTCTTTTCTAATTATCTCTGAAAATTTAATTACACAATATAGGAGAGTAAAATGGATAAAAATATCAGAAAAATAACAGTCTTGATGCATCAGAGGTACCATACTAGATATTTATTGAGATTACTGCTAGTATAAAATAATATTTTTACGTTACCTATTGCAACCAGTAATTCTTGAAAGTATCCATCATAACATTCGTTAATGGCATCTACTATGTCCTGCCCAGAGATATTTTGGAACTCCTGGAAAACTTGGGGAAGAAAGAAATCTTGCTTTATTCTAGTTCATTGATAATGATCAACTTGCCTTTTTTTTCCTGCTTTCCCCCAGTACTATAACCATTGAGTTTATTTTTTTCCCTATTTATTCTCAGTGTTTCATTATGTCTATATCCCCCAGGTAAGGCAATCTAAATAAGTAGCCTGAAACCTGGCTTCCAGGACATTCTCTCTCTGGGTTCTCCAGTATACAGTATAAAATGAATGCACTCCAAAGGCTCTGTTTCACTGGAAGCTTTAATAAATTACCTATCTAGCAACCTCTGTTTACGAAACTTGTAAGAATGTCATGTTATTAAGACAACTTCCTTGCTCAGCTTGGCTAAAACTGGCCAGAGATTCATAGGTTTTGACAAGAAGCCATGGCATGACATGCATACCATGTCAGTATCCAGACATGGACACTCTGGATAACGCAGGTATCCAGACTTACACACACAAATATACAGAGCGTGCTTACTCCTTTAGGGAAGGGGGATAATTTTCAACTCACTGCCCACTACAAACCTTACAGAGGGCTACATTATAGGCAGAGCCCTCAGATCTCTTGTTACAGAAAAGCAGTAGAGCATAAGCAGGTGTGTTACATTATGTTAATCATATCATCACCAGCCTTACAGAAGTCATGATAGAAGAATTAGTTTGTTGATCCATGACAGCAAAGTAGTTCTAAGCTGCTGTTAGAAGTTGGCATAAGAAATACAGCTGGCTGCACAGTGATAAACTTGTCACCAAACAGACTGTTTTTCCACTGCAGAGCAAAAGACATCTCAAACTTGTCACCAAACAGATACAACAGGTTTCTTTTCTGCAGTGGAAGATCTGGAAGATCTCATATAATTTTCTTGCAATCTGTAATTATGTCTGATTATCTATTTTAAATAAAAATGTCCCATTATGTTTCTGTGTGTATGTTCATTACAAGAGAGTGGATGTGGACCCTGAAGTGCTCCCATCAAAAACTTGAAACTTCTGTGGAAAAGCTTCAACACAACAATGTGTTTTCACATACAAACATTTGTTGAAAATACTCCAACTGCCTCTCCCAAGGTGTTTCCACTCATAGCAAAGAGTTACTTAGGAAAAATGAAGAAAATAGTTAAGAAAAATCTGCCTCATCCTGATGCGTTGTGTGTAAACGCAGTGCAGCCGTAGCCTATGTCTTTGGTCATGCATTCTTCTCTCTGTTATTAGGCATCCTGATGTCTGTCTGTTCTATCTACAGCTGTCTGTAGTCACCAGGCAAAGTTCAGTTTTGCATTACTTCCAAAATCCTATTAACGTCAGTGGGAGTCTGAAAGCTCCAACAGTTCACACTTAGGTTTCAGGCTAATACCCTGCTGCACATTGAGCTTCTTGGTATGTAAACCATGGTTTTATTAGCAAGTCAGATTTTTCCTTTCCACTTTATGTTCAAGCAGCTGAACTGCTGGATTACCCATCCACAACTGCTGGTAACTCCTGTTGCAGAGAATCATTTGCAGCATGTTTTTGTGTTCGCCTGTTTTCTGCTGACATGCTTCCCATAGAATCTAATGTACCAGAAAAAGGAAAAAAAATGCAGAAGATTTTAAGTAAGTCCTAAATCACTTTTCAAAATTTGTATTTGTTCTTTTTTTTAATGTTTGAGAAGCTCACATCTGACTATATTTACCATTGCATCCTGCGCGGCTGTAGAAGGATCTGCATATCCTTCCATCCTTGTTCCCTGGGGGAAAAATAGATACGTTTTCTTCAAAAATTAAATCCTGAAAGACTGTAGGAATATTAAGTTGTCTCTATGTGAAGCTACATTTCATTTCTTGAGATAACACATATGGGCTTTTAGATTGGATTAGTGCATTCAATGGCTGAATTTGCAACTGTAGGAAATATCTTCAAGTTGTCATGTTATGTCTTCATTTCCTCTAAGTAGAGGAACTCTGGAATGACAAACGGTCTTGTGAGAGGTAAATATAGGGGAAGTGGATAAACCTGTCCCGTTATAAATAAGCTTTTACCTTACCACTACCATCCCACCACCATTTCCAGTATTATGTATGTTATATTGCTTACTATAATATGTAACTATGAGGGGAAAAAAAGGGTAAGAGTAACATTTGCCATTCACTGATTATTTCTTATCAATATGCATATTACCAGAAGAATCTTTTCTCATTTTTTTCTCCCTGCACAAACGGTGGGAGCAAGCACATCAAATAACAGAGATTTTGCTTGCTTATAATCATTGTCTAAAATTAAGAATCAAGACTAGGAAATTGTTTGACAACTTTGATACATAAACAACAGAAGAATACTTCTAATTTTCCCATACATTTATTAGTTTTTCAGTTACACAAATCAAGCTGATATGCTTTAGTAAACACGCTATGATCTGAATTATATAGTTGTTAGAAAAGGAGAAAAGCACACAACTTTTGGAATTGCTTTTTTAACCAAATCGTCTTGTAATGATACAAATCAGCCCTGGTTGCAGAACTCTTAACAATCTCAAGCAGCATGTAATCACTGCCTTAATGATATGTGTTTGAAGCAATTTACTTTAGTTTAAAATTTAGTCATTTTACCCTATATGTGAAAGTGAGCATTAAAATTATGTATTGATTGTCAACTTGTAGAATGACTGATTTATAGCCCTTTCCTGTTAAAAATGTTAATTTATATTTTAATTAAATTGTAAGAATTTCACACAGTGGAATTCCTAGTAACAAGATAAATTACTTGAAGGAAATTATGCTGGAATGACTGCATAAAGTTGCATACATGAGAAAACACAGGAAAAAAAGACAGACAAGTGAACAAAAGCATAAGTTAAATAATACTCTACATGAGTCAAATGCCTGCTTTCCCCAGTAACAGTTAACAGTGACTACTCTTGGCATAGTTTTGCTGGAGAATCCCACAATATGTATAATTATTTTTTAAATAGTAGAAAATGATCATATTCCAATTAATACCCAAAAAAAGAGAATGAGAATAAAAATCTGTTTGTCTCATACTAGAATATTACTTAGCCTGAATTTGTAACTCTGTTAATTTATTTAGGAAGGACTGTAACCTATAACTTCTAATCTGCCTCAGTGTGGACATGAAAACCGTAAATCCCACAGTATAGCAGTTGAATAGTTTGCTCTCCATACATGAAGCACATTTACTTCTATCTGTAGTCAGATGTGTGTGTCATCAGTCCCAAGACTTAATAGACATCAAAGCAAAGGGTGTCTGAAAAAAGCATTAAAGGATGCATTGGAAATGTTGCTATAGAATAATCCTCTGTAAATTGCATGGTACTAGAACTAGAAAGGATATATTTTAATGAAATATCACTGAGTTTTAATGTAAGGCCATATCCAAACATGGATGATTCAACTAACAATCTTCAGAAGTATACAGTATAACTGAGTGAAGCTGGAATTTTCTGCAACTCTTCTTTATCTTGAGAAAAATATCAGTTAGATCTTGTTAGCTAAGAAGTTGCTGATTTCAGGTCTCTTTATCAATGTCTGTGGTTTAAGAAAATAAGGGCTAATAATGTAGTCTCAGATAATTTATTTTAAATTTGTTCTTTTGACAAGTAAAATGTCCCATGGTTTTAATAAAGATAAGAAGTGAGGTTGCTTAACCTGTAGCTCTTCATTTTTAAGCAAGGAAGAATTTTCATTATTGGGGGGAAAAAACCTCCAACGTTAGAAAAAGATATTTCCTGTTTATAGCTTCTACATTTGAAACATCTGCTTTTTATCTCTGTACCTCAGTGAAGCCTGCTGCTATTTTAAATCTTAGTAAGAAACTCTTTTTCCCCAGATACACATATATAAAAATACAGATACACCTTATGTATGCTATTATCTCCTGGCAGTCATTTTGTCATTATTTGTTACTCTGGTTTATAAAATATTTTTAAAATAATGAGCACAGTGACTACAATGAGAATGGGAGCTCATGATCTGACAAGGATGACCATATTTTGTTGCATAAAGCTATAAATTAGCAAAACTGCAAAAGTTGGTGTGTGATAGTGAGGATTCGTTTGCCTGCATGCAAACATACTGTGATTTAGCATATGCAGTAGCGCAAAGAACATAATGTTTAAAACAGAGAACTATTTAATACTTTCTTTCATAGTCAAATGTGGATATTTCTCCATTTTTACATAATGCCTAGACTGGATTATGAACCATATATTCTAACAGTGGAGAAAACAGAGCTTTAAAAATGAAAAGCTCATTTGTACATGCAAGTAGACACCTTTTGAGATGAGACAGATTGAGCAGAGGGTCAACAGTTGAATATCCAGGGACTTACTCAATAAAATAGTCTGTCGACCTTTGCCTCTGTCTGAAAGCCAAAGTCAAAGTCAAAGTAGATGAAAGAATTCAAGTTCTCTTCCTCTTCTGCTTTCCCTGCTCCTGTTCAAAAGTGTAGCTCTTGAACTAGCTAGCTTGAACTAGCTTTAACCACAGTCACCTTAAAATTTAAGACTTCTCAAATAGTATCAAAAGTTATTATGAAAATAGTCTGTCGACCTTTGCCTCTGTCTGAAAGCCAAAGTCAAAGTCAAAGTAGATGAAAGAATTCAAGTTCTCTTCCTCTTCTGCTTTCCCTGCTCCTGTTCAAAAGTGTAGCTCTTGAACTAGCTAGCTTGAACTAGCTTTAACCACAGTCACCTTAAAATTTAAGACTTCTCAAATAGTATCAAAAGTTATTAGAAATTTTTTAGAAATGTAAGTCATACTACTTGTTTTTACAGTACCTGAGCAAGGTTCATGAGCGTATCTCTGAAGTGACCTGAAGTCTCAGAATCGATATCTTGTTGAAGATCATTGTTATATTCTAGGTTAAAACAAAAACATACAATCTAAATCACAAATGAACGTGCTCTGAATAGTACTAATGAAGATTAGCAAGCAAAGGATAAATAAATAAATAAATACTCATCCATTTTCTATGGTGATTATTCCACAGTAACTTGTGCAGGTTCTGCACGGACCTAGCCATGGGGCTGGCAGGTCTGCCTGGGCCCTGCTGTGGGGGCTCTGCCCTGCCAGGGGGCCTCAGCCGCTGCCCCGGCTCACCTGTCCACCCACCCATGGGCGCAGCCCCACCAATGCTGCTGCTGTGTGGCAGTGAGGTACTTGGAAATGCCCCATCAAGGCAGGTGAGTGGAGTGTCCAGCCTGAGTAAGCACTTTTTGAAGGAAAACAGCTTATGTAGTTTTTTGAATAAAGTGTGCAAAAGTTTCTGAAAATCTCAAAATGTGGTGGCCAGGTATTTCAAATGTCATAGGCAGCAATACATCTCAAAAATACTATGACGTATTTTCAACTTTAAACATTTTGCTTCAGCCTTTTGTATATAGTTATGGGAGAGGAGAGGGAAGGGAACCAGTTAGTATTGAGAAGTCATTTTTGTGAGTTCAGTTCCTTCATGTGTGCTAATACATCCAGAGCACACATAGTACAACTGCTACTGTGCACTTGTAAAAAACATTACGCATTAAGTAGGCTTCTTTCATCTGGAAGATCTCCATATTTGATCTTGAGGCTAATATGTCAATTAGACATTTTTCTTCTGTGTCTACTCCCTGTGTGGAAAGAAATATGAAAAGATGTTGTTAGTAGAAACCACAGGTTTTAGAAGAAAGCAGTGCTGCACTTATCAGAAGTAACAAAAGAATAGCAGTCTCTGCTGGAGCAATGCAGAGTGTACTTTTGCATAGTCTACCTGTTTAAATAGAAAATGACTTTGAATACAGTAGAACCCTGTATTTCAAATATATTCCTACTTAATCGAAATTTCAGCGTGTACATTAACAAGTGGAGAATGAAACAAGACTAGTGTTGACAGAAACATAATGGGAAGAACTTTAGAGCTTTAGTAAGAATTTGGGATTTGCTGAAAGAAATCAGATGCAAAGATTGAGCATACGTCCCCAGCAAGTGTTCAGGCAATCTGAAGTAGATATAAGCACAACTATTGTGTTTTGCTTCTATCTTTTTTTTTTTTAATTTATTTAGGAATGTTACGGTCTGTAATGTCTACTGTGGAACTTCATATTTAAGGGAAGCATCATGGCCATGCATGCAGTGCTGCAAATCACTGTATTTTCCTACAGTATTTGAATTAATTTTATAAATTTGAATTTACATAAGATATGCTGTATATGCTGCTTTTGTATAGTGTTGGTGAGTATTCTGCATTTGGGATAACGGGAGAATGTTACATCGAGCCTGGGCCTGGAGACACATATGGCCTGTTTTTCACTTTGGCCATAGGAATCCAGATCAAGATAGAATACTGTAAGAAAGTTTAACTTTGAGCCACATTTGGAAAAAAATATAACTTTGGCAAGCTTGTCAATAATTTTTATAAAAGTCATGCTTCCAGTGCTACCAATGATATTTCACAATCCTTTTAATGCCAACTGTAGTTAAAAAGTGCATTGGTTTAAGTGTCTGAAGGACAAGAAAAAACAGTGTTAATCTTTTTTTTTTGAGGGGATTCTCAAAATATGTAAGATAGATCACCTTGCTCAGAGTCGCACAATCTGTGTTTTATTTGTGACAATGGACAGTAGCAAATATTCATGGAAAGAAAAGGAAAACAGTGTTGAGCTCTGATATGCCTTCCCATCTTCCAGGAATTGGCAATTTAGGAATTTCCTGAGAAGGAATTTGCCAGGGATTATTATTTTCAATAGCCAACAGTGGACCTGTTTTCTAAGAATTTGTTGAAGTCCTTTATGAACTGATTTGTGCTTCTGGCCTCCACAATGCCCTGCGCGAATGAATTTCACCATTTAATTACATGATCTTTGAAAAAATATTTTTGTTTGTTTCAAAACTTCAGTTGTTTAAAGAGCACAGGCTCAGATCCTGGGAAGAAAAGGAAATACTTTCTCCAAAATGTGCAATCAGTTCAATTTGAGTGGAATGAGCATTGCTTTGTCACAGAGTAATTTGTAAGTGTTTATGTAAAGACATGCTGCTAAAGAAGTACTGGTCTTTTCAGAGGTGGAGGCTTAGTGCATGGCACTGGCAGTTCAAGTGAATTTTGTTCGTAACATACATAAATGCTTGCAGGATCAGGGCCTTACATTTCCCTGTATAAATATTTCTTCATTTATCGAGTTTACCATGGGTGTTAAATGGGTTGTATTTGTTACATGGCAAGGATATTATTTATGCTGGTTTTAGCATACCAGTGAATAAACTTCATCTAGCACTGTATTTCTGATGACTTAGTACACTATTCCAGTGTACTAACTTCCAGCAGTTTATCAACCATTTAAATGTAAAAAAAATCAATTTAACATATGTTCAGTACTGTCATTAGTGACTGTGACTCTAAGCAATTCTGAATTTGACAAGTACCTTCAAGGCATGCCAGAGCTCGTGGGCATCATAGGAGGCAGGTGGATACATCAAGCCAACCATGACTTCTTTGAAGTGATGAGAGAGATTCTCTTTTAGGTCTGTGATCAGATCCTTGAAAAGAAAAAGAAAATGCATAGACAGGATTATTTCAATAGCCACACTTTATGAAGACAGCTTAAAAAAAGTTTGGGTGGTTTTCTCTGTAAATGAATAAAGATGAACTGCCGAAGATTAATTCTGGCTAAAACTAAGTAAGAAAAATATTCTTTTAAATAGTACCTGCTTCTTCTAATAGTGTGGGTGAGATGACAATAGACACACAACCAAGTAGACCACACAGGATTGTTGATTTTTGGTTCATTAGAATACAGAAGAAAATTCAGGGGTTTAAGTGCAACTACTACTTAAAGGCTTGGAAACCTGAATACCATGGCAGAGCATCTGCAGCTTCCCTTGGCATATTCCCTGTGCGAATCTGTGGGAGCTAAGCACCTTTGGAAGTCAAATCCCATAGAACACAGGCGACTTCTTGTGCTTTTTTCAGTGTTACTCACTACGTGAATAATTTAAAAAATCGTCCATATTGCTCCTAGTACATAAAAATATCTGCTTTGGATTACCGGAAGGTTATGTGCTTCAATTTATGTATATATGACATTCAAACTGAATTCACTACTTCTGACAGATGCTGGATTAATATAAAGGAACCTCTCTCTTCCCCCACGTGTGTCTCAGTACTCGCTTGCCAGGTAGCTGAGTCATGGATGAGAGTTTCCTCCCCTTTCCCAGTAGCATCCTTCAAAACACTGAGAATGCCAAAAGCTTGTTAGTTATTCTCTTGCTGTTTCTGATTAAAAAGATACTTGTGCACTCATGTTTTTTATTTTTTGTGTACATCACTAGGCAGCTGTCAGATATGTTCTGACCTAAGTCTGAATTTAAAGGAGTACCAGAAACGGTTCCCATGATATAAACTATTCTTTTTTCAGAGCTGCATCTTTTTCAGGCCTGTACTTTGGTTTTGATACATATCTGAATATAATTAAATTAGTAGCTAGAGTAGCAATGAAGGAGGACATATACACATTGAAAATGAAATTTATGATGAAGAAACACGCAGTCTTCAGTGATTGCACATTAGATGCATTTGACAACCACTAAATCACACACGGAATAGAGATTAATTCATTAAGACATCTCACTTCTGACAACATGCCTGTGGGAAAATGGATTAATAATACAAATGGATACGAATCAAAAATTACTCCTGCAATCAGAACTAAGGGAAGTGAAGTATTGAAAAATAAGAGAAGACATCTCTAAATTGTCATTACTGACATTTCCTAATAGTGCCTGCTATAAGAAATCCTTGAAGGCTAATTGTAAGAAGGAATCTTAAAGCTTGTCTGTATGTCTGAATCATGCAGCCAGTTCAGGGTTTTATTTTCTTTTTTTATATATTTCTCCTTCTAATGTGTCACACTTTACATTTGTCAAATTAATGGGCATAGTGGGGATACTTGTTGAATTGAATAATAACATTCAATACCATATTGAACAGACTGAATTGAAATTAAGAGTGTAGAGGATTGGACTGACAGGATTACTATAGATTAAACTGAGAAGTCTAAAATTGTTATTGCCTAGCTGTCTGTCTTCTCTGTCCTGCAGAGTTTACCACTCATAAGCTGGGACTGCTGATTGGCACATTTGCCCAACGCAATATATCCATTCATACAGATTACAGCCACTGAAATGCTATCACTGATGTGTGCTAAAGTATCTTCTGAAGTGTAAGCTACAGCAATTCAGGGCAAGACACATCCCATCCTGTTCGGCAGTTCCTGCCCAAGATAGCAAACTTTTGAGGGATCAATCAAATAAACTGCATGGAACACTAACCAGATTAGCCATTTCAGTATATCTGCTATCACAGGTGAGACAAAAAAATCAGCATTCCTGTTTCATTTCTGAACTAGATTAGAGCTAATTTGTACTGGCCTCTGTTTCCACATGGCAAAAGGTAGAACTAATTGGGGGATTTTTGGAAAGCTGTCAAGAGTATCTTGATATATCTTGCGCTATAAAGCATACCCAGTGCTTAACGGATTCATTTAAATTAAAATTGCGGGTGTATATGCAAGATGTTCCATGAGTTTCAGAATTTTCTGTAGCCCATTGCTGGAATATAAAAATAATTTGCTTGCCTTTCCCTTCTATTCTTATTCATAGTTTTAGAGATTGAAATTCTTAAAAATTACATCTGAGGTTTTCTTTGGCTTCTTTAGTTCTTCTAGATCTTTAGGTCTGTGGCCACTGGCTTTATAGCACTTCAGGTTGACTGAATATGGCTGACAGAGGTATAGATTTAAAGCTGGTGTTGTTTCATAGGGATTTATTTATTTGTTTATATTTTTATTTTGGGTTTGAAAAGAAAATCCAAATAGATCAGTGGCGAGCAAGTCAGTAATTGTTCTCTTTGAATACCAAATATGGCAAATCATAATTCCATTCCTGAAGGACATTTGGCAATTCTTTATTGAGATATCATCAGTGTTACCTCTAGGTCATCTTCATGTATCAGAGGGCAGAAATTAAAGATAAAAAATTATATGGAGTTTTTAAATGTTTTCCCTTATTAAAATGATAGGTCCAGTTGAAACACTCTAGAGAAAAGGTTAAAAAACCCCAGCCAGCTGCTATGGATGGAGTAGAGAAGGAGCACTGTCCAGGATTAAGGAGATAAATGAAGACTTGACAAGAATAGGCTTACGTGCTTTACTATCACAGGCACCTTTGGGTAGCTTGACATGCTTTAGTTTTCTATAAGTAAAACTAAAACTCAGTGAGGAATGTTGCATGGATAAACACTGAACTTGTGTGGTTTGCATCTGTAATGGTAGTGGTAACCTAATAAATACCTCATAGCAGAAGAACACTTTTAATCATTCAGATTCACTGATTTCACTCATTGTCACAGACTTTGGAAGGTAAGGATACCTGTGATTCAGTTATTGTTCTTTTATGGTCTATTTAAAACATACTCATCCATTCAAGGCTGCATCTAAAATATCACAAATCTTGTGCATTTGAATTTTTATAACAGTCAAAATAAAGCCAGTGATCTCCTGCAGGTGAGTAACAACACCAGATCAACCCACTACACTGATTAAATCCAGCTCCCTTCTTTCCCCCAATTCTAGGAGAGTAAGGGGGTGTTCCAGCATATTTAGAGGTCAACAGTTGTGAGGTATTTTGGTATACAGGTGGCCCAAAGGCTGTTTCTGGAAAACTGCTCAGCTACCTAAAGAAGAAAATACATAGTACTACCAGTTAACAGACTGGTAGGTAACAGACTACCACATCAGCAGTTAATGTGGAGTTTTTGAATGAACCATTCCTAGTTAACTCTAATTAAGGCTGATGGCTGTGTGGTGGGTGGGATTTTTGCGAACTCACTGTCCTCATTCACACTGATCGATTCAATGGCAAGCATGCACTGACCTTCAAGGCATTTTCCAGTGAGCCGTTAGTTTTTCAGGCTTCAAGAAAAGAAGAAAACTGGATTTTGTTTAAAATGTTTGGCTGGCTTCTATTAGGGGAAGGGCACGTCTGGTCAATTTAATCACAGCATTTTTCTTTAGCTTTCCAATAGTATCTAGTTTCATACAGCGCTTTTCACCACTAGATTTCACAGAGATTTTACAAAGGGTGTTGCTATTATTTTCACTCTTATATAGCTGGGGTAACTGAGGAAAATGCAGGCATTGCAACTTTCCCAAAGTCATTGGGTTAGCAACAGTAGATCTGGAAATAGAATGAGGATATCTATCTCTGTGTGTGTTTAAGAACTCGTATAACAAAAATTACCTTGTTATATACAGTAGATATTGATAAAATGCATTTGGAAAAAAAAGCTAACTTTTTATGTCTTAAAATTTTTGAAACACCTTTCATTGAATCATAAATTTAACATTAAGCAACTCAGATTAGTATTATGCTTAGTGTATAGATGGGATTACATGGTATGAGGTCTGAGAATGTCGGTGCTTGAGATGAGAACATTAATCAGTGTGTGAATAAGATACAACTACCTGTATTTGTTGGTATAGTGTTTTTCTTTGGTATTTCAACCCAAATACAATACTATTTTGTTATGTATTCCAAAAACTTGAAAAAAGTAATGCAGAAACCCCCAAAAGCACATAGAGGAAGAAATAAGTCTGTCCAGAAATTCTGGTTTGGTCAATAGAGGAGGAGAATGAACTATAGAAGAAGAAACTTTCCATGTCCCTTTTTTATAACTTTGTGTGTGGCAGACATACTTCTACTGCTGTATGAATAACAATTTGAAACCGTCAGAGGTATCAATAGTTACATGAGCGAAGTTGTGTGCCAGTCTGTTGGTGCCAGCCAGCTGTCTGCCAGGCTTTTAGTTCCAGTGACTGACGTGAGAGAAGGGCTGACCAACCACGTTGGAGACAGGAGAGACAGAAGTAACGAAAGTACAAAATGGCTCTGTCGTACCCTGCCATACATGTCTCTGTACGCCTCGGCAATCATAAGCCGCTGTGAATTGCAACGCTGCGTTAGGATATCAATCAACACATCTTTTTCACAACCTGTAAAGGAAACACGACACAGACTCTAAATTAAGAAAGTGTAGTTATTTACTTACATTTGTGATTGTTCATGTTTTGTTCAAGAACATTAACCTAAATTCTTGAAAAAAAATAGATCAACAGATTAATATCCCACTGGTACTTACCAACATCAATTATAGTTACTGTGCTTATGTACCTTTCACTTGCTGGTGTAATACCAGCAAAAAGTGAAGTAGTCTGTTATTATCAGATGCATCACCATCTCTCTCAAGCTCAATGGATTTGAAAGCATCAATAAAACAGATAGAGGCTTTCATGTATTCAGAACGAGGCACACTAGTAGAATTTGTGGCTGAGCCTGGGAAGTCATATTTGTATGCGCTGTTGATATTGATTAAATTGTCATTTCAGGATTAGGGATCTCTTTTATAAGGATGACAAATTATGGTCAGACCATTTGTTGAAAAGCTGAAAGATATTTTCAGAAGAACTATATAAAATAAGTTACGAAGTTTTAAAAAATGTAGTATTTTAACCAATTTCCAAGGGCATTTTATTGAAGGTTACCTATGATCTTTTGCTTGATAACTAGAGCATACTGCTAAACTTCTATAATGAATCAGTATTAACTGCTTGTGAAAAAGAAGATAATGATTAACATCATATTCTGAAAATTACTCTTTTCTGAAAATAACTCTATCATTTTTGTATTTTTTTCCACCCCAAAAGATGGCTCTTGGTAATTTTAGATGGCTCAGCATTTTAATGACATTCCAGCATAAATATATCTCCAAGTGTAAATCAATTGACTTTATCACACTTGCAGCAGAGATGAATTAGGCTAGAAAGCATGGGGATCAGCTAGCATCTGAATGGAGTAGGGTAGTCTCATGTTTCTACCAGTCATTGTTATATAAGCACATATATATATACATATGTATGTTACAGATACACATTCTGTACCTATTACAGCTTTGTTAGGCAGATTTTATCATATGATCTTTAAATTTTGACACAAATGTAACTGGATATTGAATACTTTTTTTTTTTAAGTTGGCAGAGGAAGGCTGTATTTGCTCATTATACAGGTTTAGTTCTTCTTCTGGATTATCTCACCACAATTACACCAGCTTTTTAGCATGACACTGATTTAACATCAGTCTGATTCTTTTCCATCAAACTCACAAAACAGATGTATTACTGAAACTCTGTGCATAAGGATTTCTTTTTACTTTTTAGAAAATAATTATCACTAGGAATCTGTACAGCTTATACAGTCTCTACAGCAAAAACTAAGAAGGGTTCAGGAAGTATTTAAAAACCTAAATAACTTCATTTGTTTGTGTAATACCACTGGTATCAGTGGGACAACATATGTGGCTGAACCTCCGCGCAAGAGTGAATGTCATGTGCAAGATTTGGGGTCAGGGGTGTCAGTGCCTGTGAAGACTATGGAGACTTAAACTCTTCCGAAGCTAAACTTTGTATTTTGCCAATTGTCCTTGAAATTAGAACTTTGTTTCATGTACTTTGATAGGTAAATTAAAAGTAAGGTTAATGCACTTGTATTTACAGTATTAAATGAAGAGAATAATCTCTGTGTTGTGTTAGCAATGTTGCATTAAAAGTATTGTTCGAAGTCTAGCAAAATGTTTAAAACTTTTCATCTGTAGCCAACTTAATCAAAAAGATACATCAGATTCCTTTTGATCAATAATACCCATTTTGGTTCATTTGACATTAAGTCTGAGTCCTCACATTTCCATTAAAGAAACTGAAAACAGAATGCAAGATTCGATGCTGTACAGCCTTGTGAAAAGCCCAAAGGGTATAAAAATTTTGATACAGACAACAATTTTAATGTGAGGAAAAGGTTTCAGATAGTTAAAAAAAAAAATTATTCAATATTCTGACCCTAAGCAATATCAACAATGTTTAACAGGAAAACACAAAAATCTGAACGGAGAAAAATGCTTTGATGAACAAAAATTTTTTTTGTACATAGGCTGAAAGCAAAAATTGCTCCTGAGTGAAAGATAATAAATTCTTTAAACTTTCTACTCCATTTATTTTTATTTCTTGATGACTGATTAAAAGACTTAACAGTCCCTGGTAGTAGTTAATTATTGAAGTTGCAATTAAAAACCTTTCCTTTGTTGGCCTTCACTGTAATGCATAACACAGAATTCTGTTTTCTTTTTCTTATTTTCTCAAGGAAAGCATTCATTACTATAAGTGTTGGTATAGATTTTAGGTTAATCTTAACCACATCTTAGTTCCTGTAAATGCAAATACATGATTTATTTGGACATCACCAGTGTGTCTTATTGTGATACCTTGAAGAATCAACAGATACGTGGTGACACTTTTAATTTTATGAGTGTTTATTTTGCCTAATGCTTGGTATTTTATGAGAGCTTTCTGAACAAAAAAAAAGATGTGTTAGAATCAGTCAAGATACTCACTAATTCCCTGTAGGGCTCCTCTTAGCAACTGGGCATCCATAATAGGGTTAAAATTCGGAGCGGGAAAAATCGTTCCTTGTGTCTGCTAAAGGAGAAAGCAGCCTTTAATTGAGGTGGTTTACATCTATAACACTGCATATATAGTTCTGTTGAAAACCAACAATCATAACATTAAATTGTCTTTGCTTCATGGGGAACAGTATGCAAAGGTTTTAATTTATGAAACAGAACTTAAACTTGCACTAAGCCCTAGGAATACAGACCATATTTGAGGAAGTTGCCCCTAGCATGAGTTAGGCCTGAAAAAAATTTTTTTGCATTAAAATGTAACCACATTTTTGTGTCTATCTCTTTCCCAACCTTTTTTTGAAAATATTATTTTATCTTTCAAAGTTAATACATGATATCCCTGGCAGTCTTCAAAATCTATTTCTCATGGTACTTCTAATTTGAAAGGACTAGTGAGAAAATTATGAATGAGATGCATAGGTTGCTTACAAACCTAGTAATTTTTTAGAGAAATGATGTTACTGCTAAGTGTGAGGTAGCTTTCTGATATACCATGTAGAAGGCAACACCATTTTTCTAGTTGCTTTGTAACAGATTAAATTACTGTCAGTTCATTCTCAGTGATACTCTATTTCATGTATTTTTTCTTATTCTTTTTAAGAAATCTGTGAATAATAAACAGAACTGATGTACTCATTTTAATAGAATCACAGACCCATACGTATACAGAAGAAAATAACTGAGGTTGAAAGCTACTTAGCTCTGTCCTCTGGTTAACCTCTTTAGTTCCTCTGAGGATTCTACCTGCTTCTCCAGATGTACCAAGTATAAAGGTTATCTTTTATGATGATTCCTGGTCTCAGTCAATACATCTGATTAAAATGACACTGTTAACTTGAAACTTACATTTCAAGGAAAAATGGGATATATTTTGTAAATGAAAATGGAGTATTTTTACGAATGCCTCCTAGAATCAAGATTTACACTGATTACACTAATTTGTTTGTTTGTTTGCTCGCTTTACATACACTTGAAAGCCTTTTATATGTTGTGCCTTCGGTAGTAATGACATACACACACAGATTTTGTGTATGGCCGCTAATCATGCTTCCCTGTTTGCAATTTTAGCAAAGGAATTAAAAAGTACCAAGCAGAAGTGGATATTTTAGATGAGAAGGAAGACATAATTTCTTGTTATGTTTGATCATTACTTTAGACCCACCAAGCAAAGGTAGGGGCAACAAATTGTCAGTGGCTAAGTGAGGAAAAGAATGTATGGTCAGAAATCAAAGATTTTTAAAGGAGTTTTACTTTAAAAAGTACTAATAAGGCAACATGCCTTCACACAGAGAAGAAAGTACTCACCAGTAGACAAATATCCTTCTGCTGTTTGTTCATCATTTAAATACAAGGTTCTTTTATTATAACTGAACATAAAATACATAGTGCCTTTTTACTCATTAAAACAATCAGGAAAATAATGAGAAAAAAAATCTTTTGGAGATACAGAGATTAATACTGGCCATAGAGAAGACAATGAGACCATGCCAATTTTTGTAGGTTGATACCTGTTGTTGTATCTAAAATTAATTCCAGACTCATCCTTAAGATATGCTCCATCCCATCTTCCTTTGTCAGTGTGGGAATTGTCTGTGTACCCTGGGCCTCACTTGTCACTTAACATATCTCTAGGGTAGGGCTCTGCAGGTGTTAGCCTCAGAAATTGAGAGTTTATATCCTCGTGACACCCTAGTTACTGGCAGTACACATACTTCTTCAAATGTCTTTCACCAAAAGTTTCCTAGGCACGTGCAGCAGTGGGAGTTTGAGTGCTGTTTGGCCAGATGGTACATGAGGCTCCATTTCCCCCCGCCATTGCTAGCATGTCAAATGATGCTGACCTTAGTTCAGTCACCATTCTCCACAGCTCAGGAGACAGAAATGCTTGAGTTCTGTGGCTGGTCAGCTGGACAAACCACCCCAAAGCTTGCTAATAAACAAAATCACTATGGAAAGAAGTGCTAGAAGACACTGTTAGCATGCAGAATCAAAAATATATATTGATATATGCTATGAGTTAGGAAAAGAAATTTAGCTTTCTGGCTCTGTAATTCATGCTTCCCAAAGTGTCTGAGACATAAAAAAGCTCATCAATCTTAAGAGGAAAACCAAAACAAATCCAAAACCAACACGTCATCAAATATTATGTTAGGGTTGCCAAAACAGAAAACATTTTGATGGGGATAATAGTAAAGAATGGTAGGATGCAAATAGAATGCAAGTAACAGATATGAAATTCAAAGACTTTGAGCCTGCATTTTAAACCAAAGGTGGAAAGCATAGGCATATCTGGCATTCGCTGTCTGAACCTGTCACCGCCCTTGCTGATCAGAAGGGTGGCCGTGGGGAGGAGAGAAAATGTAGGACGTGTGCATTTATTCAAACCTAATTTAAAATACTGGTGCTGGCTCTTCATCTCTGCATCAGCTTTGAACAGGTTCGATTCCCGTAAAGATTAGTTATCTCAAAGTATTTCCTTTCACACATTCAGGTTTGTGGTGTCACAAAATGAACCACTAAGTCACTGATCTTTTCAGCATTTATGATACTTGCACTAAAATCAGAAATAAGTGACTGACTGACTTAGTGAATGCTTTAAGGGTGGATTCCTGCATAGTCCTTGGAACAAAAAATGAGTAAAAGTGGTTTTCGAAGTAGATATCACCTCTCAGTCAGAATGGAGGCAAGCATTAATAATTTCTGAATATATATCTTTATTTGTAAAACAGTCAAAAAAAAAAAAGGGCCTTGCATGAATGCATATTCACAAACATATAATGGAGGGATTGATCATAGAAAAAAAAAATTTTGAATATACAGATTTGCAGGCTTGTAAATTTTTGACCAAAAAACTCAACACAGCCCTTGTAATGTATCTTTCAGGCAAAATGGATTTTTGAATGTGCTCAATTCTCCCTTGGTTCAGCACAGTTGCTGAACACTTCTTTTATAAAGTATTTACCATATTATTTGAGGCTCACCATCAGTAGATTAAACCTGATCTAGTAAACACCTATCTCCTAGCCAGTATCTAATTAAAACCACAATGCTTTTAAGTAGAACCAAATTAAATATAAAGGTTCAGGTAAAAACTTTCAGAAAAACTTTCAGAATATACAGTAAATTTCAACTTTTTTTTAATACATGTCCTTTGTGGGAAAGAACTCCCATCCTTTTGTGGTTTTTTAAACAATTTAATTAAAATTTTCTTGTAGTGTACACATTGTACTTGGCTTCATCTTCCATCCCACAGAAGACATTTGTCCCAGAGTGTTATTTTTGATGAGGATTTTCAGTGTACCTCGTATTTGGATTTTCAGAGTGATTTCTCAGCAAATTCAGCATTCTGCCAATATATAACAGTTCTCTGAACGGAGATCTAGGATTTCCAGCGTACATGCTATCAGGGTCTTCAGAAGGAATTTCTACATAACTAATGATGTCTTGCTGCTGGCAATGCAATATTGTGTACCTTGAAGAAAAGTACTTTGCTACTTTGCGGTGTTTACACAGTCTAACCTTTAGGAAGATTTATCCTATCACAACCTATGTCAGTTTTATCCTGTAACCACTTTCATAGTTTCAGTCTTTGACAAGCGTCCAAAAGCATTCCTGGTTCACTTTATGCACTTAATTTCAAAATCTTCAGGAGTTTATTACTTACTAAAGTTATACCACCTGTTTTCACTGAATTTTTGAAATACGGGCACAAGCAGGTCTGGGCCAAACCTTTAGAGCTGAACTTTGGTAATTTTGGGTCTGAATTCACTGTGATTACACAGCGATAGCCTACCACTTGTGTGTTGTAGCCATTCGTTTTCTGTCCAGTAGCAAATAATTCAAGAGCGCTGTGTGATATTTACCATGGAAGGCAAAGCCAAGTAAATGTATTGGTAGGCAATTCAGAAAAGACAGGGATTGATTCTTGGATGCTGCAGTGCTGTCTGTGCCTCTCTGAAGTAAATCCCGTGCAGACAATCCATACGCTTGTCACAGAGGATGGGGCCTTAGTGCCGTGATGGCAGGTGGCACTACTGTCCTGGGGTGACGAGATGCTACACATCAGGTGAGAAGGAAAAAACTTGATTCAAAAGCAATGCAGAAATCCAAGACGTTGCTTTTCTGAGCAAGCGACTGCTCTAATGTCCTTTGGTGTAGTTTCATGGGGAGAATGAAAGCATGAAAGAGCTGATGTAGTTTGTAGTTGTTGAGCAAGACTGAATGCTCGTAATAATCTCCTGTACTGAGAGATAAGCCAGGAGGTTGTGGCAGGCATTTTGTTTTGCAAAGATTTGTTACAATCTTGTAGTAAATCTGTGGTTACAGCATTCGTTTGCTGGACATTCTTCAAGAAAATGAGGAAATGCACTGAAACAACGTTCACCTTGGGAAAGCTGGGGCTCTGCTTCCGTAACCTATGGCCCAGGGTGAAAAATCATGTTTCCCAAAAAAGTTATACAGGGTTTGCATGTCTAAATGTGCCTAGGAAATGCATACCTAGCAGCAGTGTACTGCACAAACTGAGGGAGCAGAGCAGTAGAGGCATTTGGTAACTGAATGAAATTAAAACAGATTGAATTTTGATCAGGGAGCAGGCAACTACACGGGAATAGGTTGTTCCTTTCCATTATCTTTGGTTAGAGAATTTCTACTGCCCTGGTTTGAAGCAGGGCATTTTTAGGGTTGATTGAACACCTGAGTGTAGTTACAGGTACTGCTATTTCACTTCATTCATTTTCACTGAAGTCAGCTGTGACTGACCAATAAACCCCTATAATGGAAGAAGGCTCAGAGGAGCTGGGCAAGGGTGGTGTGCCCATGAAGCTCAGGGAATAATGCAGGATGTGACTGACCACAGCTGTTGCAAAGAAAGCTGATTTTATCTCAACACAAAGAGGACCGAGAGTGGCCTTTGCTTTAGATAAACAGCTATCAACAGTTGAGTGGATGAACTGGTGGTGTAAATGTTTATAACTGAGTTCATTAAAAGGGTGTGAATGTCTCCCT